ACACAAACAATTTGGTGATTAAAATTTGAATTTCAAGATAAAGTAACCTGAACGACTCGAAACATGTTTCTTATAGGTTTTCGACAATGCTCTTTCCAGTAGCATCGTTTTTAAATATTGAGAAAGTTTTCTGAAGGATTTTCGAAAGATCGGATCTCCGGAAAACTTCTTAGAAAACTTTCACAAAACCCAACTCTCATGCCATTAGAAAGAGGATCATGAAAAACCTATAAAAAATGGTTCATGAAATTTTAGTTCACACATAAAGCTAAAGTCCGCCTGCTCTAGCAAAAAATGCCCACTGTGACTCAGCTTCAGATATTCAAATATCATATTTAAAATTAGCGTCAACAACTGTAATACACAGACCGGATTCATAGACAAATAGATACGAGCATATTATTATTCAACTGTAAATGCATAATTTCATCACCCACATTACTTAATAAATTTCATAGAAGCTCTTTTAATGAGAGAAATAGGAGAAATAATAATCGAGCGAAATTTCTTTAGATTGTGTATCTGTTATTTGGTATTATAAATGCAAGGTTCTTTAATCAAGGCACACAATCAATTGTGTTTTTCTTAACAAACAACTGTTTAGCATTTAAATTGTAATGTTTATTTATTTTCATATTTTGAAATATACACCGAACTGTTAATAGACTGAAAAAGGGCGTAAACGTGATGTTTTGAAAAATGCATGATGTATTAGATTGATTTTGAATGAATTTATGCCAGATATATACAGATTATATGAGAAATCGCAGACTTTTTTTGAATAGCTCTATTGTTTATCGATCGGATGGATCTCTCCAGTGGTGATCGACTATTTCAAAAATACAGATTACAACAGCGTCGTCGTCATACAGTAGATGATATTAACCTAAGATATGTTTTACCATCTTTTACAAATTCAATACCAGATACAAATACTAAAACAGATATTAATAATAAAGATATTAAAATATTTTCTATAGCACAAATAGAACCAAATGGCATTACCAAGACGGACACAGTACAAGGTATATATATATATATATATTTAGTTAGTTTTTATTACTATCGTTCTCAGAGTATAAGAAGTATGGTCGTTTCTCAAGTAACTTTTAACTAGAAAAGATAAATGTAAATTTATTATTGAGAACAAGAACCATTTGATAAGAACTTGTAAAGGTACTGTATGATTTTATTTGGCATGTACTCAAAAAGTGCTGGCTCGAATTTCAGTATCTAGTACTACCTAAACAAGCTTTCCTGTTAATCTTGAACAAGTTAATTATGTTCATGTACACACAGCCTCTACATGGTAACGTACAACATATCGAGTTACTCGAAACAAACGAGTCTCTCAAAGCTTTATCAGCACCCCGTAACGGTAACGACAGTCGCAAAGAAGGGTGGTCTTCTTGCTTCCAAGAGAAAGGAGCGCATTCTCTCTGATGTGAAAAATCTTTAGTTTTATGATGTGTCTAGAACCGATTCAGATAATATTCTCACATATCTGAAATAGTTATAAAAACATTCGTATCAACAAAAGCTTAAAAGAGAGAGTTAGTTACTGGAGAATCTGCTAAAATATGTACAATTTTTATCATAATTGTTTTTTTTGTTGTTGTTCTAGATGAGAAAAGATACTCTCTTGAACAGATGGTGTCCTATAGACATGGAAGGCATGTGGAAGATAATGCTCTATCAAGAAATGTTAGGTAAGAATAAAAATTTTATTTTCGCCTAGAAAAACTATAATTGTACAGATAAGTAGAAACTGTTTTGGATTTTTACCCAACATGTGATAGGACGAAAGTTATTTTGATATTCGACAACTGAATCTCTTTATACTTTTAGACGATTTTATAAAAAACAAGATGAATTTATAGATTGTTTCCATAGTATACACAACAAAAATTCTGATGATAATGCAAATAAGAATAAATTTGAACGAAATAAACGATGGGCTTTCATACTGATACAAACAACATTGATATCAAACATAGTAACTGAACAGTATCTACATTGAACATATTACTGACTAACTTACTTTATTTGAGATTTATTTTTTTTGTTTTAGTTTCTAGTGCTGGCAAAAATATTTTCAGCTGTATTTTCTAAATCATTATCGATTGCTTCAAGTGCTATTGATAGTACAATCGATTTAATGTTAAATTTTGCAATATGGTGGGCAGCACGTGCTATTCAAAAAAGAAACCCCTATGCATATCCTCAAGGTAAGTCTATAGTAAAAAAAATTGATTGTAAATTTTACTATTATTCTATTTTACACTTTATTAGGTCGAACAAGACTAGAACCAATAATTATAATAATTTTATCTGTAGTTATGTGTCTGGCTTCCGTTCAAGTTATATATGAATCAGTACATGCATTAGTCACAGATATTAAATATTTCACGAAAAAAAATTCAACTGATGAGCATTTAACCAATATTGATATTAGTGCGGCACCAATAACAATTATGTGTATAACAATAGGTGAGTGGCAGCAATTATATTTTTTAAATTATGCATGCGTTTTTATCTCCTGTCTTTTAGTTGTCAAAATAATTTTGTCTGCATTCTGTTATCAAATAGCGACTCCAACAATGGTTGCTCTTGCGCAGGATCATCGAAATGATGTTGTTTCGACCGTTGTGGCACTGGTATTCGGACTAATAGGTTTGTATTCTATATATAAAAATTTACAATATTAGCCACAATATCTCTCTCTTTAGCATCAAAAGCTATGAACGGTTCAATCAAAGAAAAGAAATTCGTGATGATTGATCCAATCGGGGCCATTATTATCAGTTTGTATATTATTGTCTGCTGGATGCCACAAGCAAGATGTAAGAAAAAAGCATATATTTTAAATGACGCAACATTGGACTGATAAAAAACTGAGATTCATCACGTTATTCTTACTCTTATCATTTCTTTTATTTAGTACATATTCGAAACTTAACTGGTTATACGGCTCATCCAAAATTTCTTCAACAAATTACATGGCTTGCATTTAATCATTCACCTCTAATAACAAAAATTGATGCTGTTCGTGCCTATCATTTTGGCAATCATTATTTAGTTGAAGTTGATATTATTCTACCAAAAAACATGTTTGTTAAAGATGCAGTAGAAATTGAAACAACATTACAAAAAAAAATTGAAAATCTTCGCGAAGTTGAACGTGCTTTCGTACAATTACATTATAGTATAGAAAATCCAGAACAAAAACATAAAATTGTTTAAACTGTCATAGAAAGAAAACATTTTATGTTAACTATTATATTTAAAATACGTTTACCGATAGTATTTGAAAGAATATGAATAATTTCCTATCTGACATTACCAACATATTGAGTGAGAGAAAATAAAATATTGCTGTTTTAATAAATATACAGCTGTAGTATTAACAAGAAAAAATCAATCATACGAATTACGGCTACTTTTGCTGTTGAAAATTACTGCCTCTTTAATTCTGAATAATCTTTAACTTTCTTGAATGGCTGCAAATGTTTCATCTTGTTTATACCAATGCTTAAATAATATTCGTCGATATTTGAAAATGAAATAACTTAATGGTGATAGACATAACAACAAAATTTGAGTTCGAAGTCGATCTTTATAATATTTAATATACTCAATATCTTTATTTGGTTCAATTTTAGCTTCTAGTAGAAACAGACGTTTTTTCAAAGGATCTCTATTTTCTTTTAAATATAAGTTAATGTAAACGTATTTTTTAATTGCTAATGCCAATATAAACATTGGATACACAACACCGATTAGTAAATAAGCACGTAAAAATTTCTCTTCAAATTTTAAAGCGTCTGTTTCATGAATCTCTAAACACAAAAAACGAAACAATAGAAATATCTAAATGAATTCTGTTCTCCGAATGTAAAAATGAATTCAGAAAAAAAAAAGAATCTCTACTTTTTGTATAATAGAAAACTAGAAATCGAATTTATTTGCGTATATAACAACGTAATGATTAAATACCTTTTGGTCGTTCTAGTTCAACTTTGTCCTCTAAATGAATATCTAATTTAGGTGCTGGTTCTTGTATCCCATCGGGTAGGAAAATTAATTTACTTCTTTCATATTCTGTAAGCAATCTTGCTTTAAATGTTGCTGTATCTGGCATTTTTACGGTGACTTGTGTCTTTGTCTCACTGTTGTTACGTTCCGTTAAAGAATCGACGATTTTATCAACAGCTGGATGTTGATTGATTAATGGAGCAGAATTATCAAAACGTCGATGAAATTTTAAGTGGTATATAGCATACGCGATGACAGTAATTGTTGCTGCTGATAAAGCGACAGCTGTCGATTTTAATCCTGTACGCTCACTTGAAGCTTTTTTATTAGAGTCATTCGAATAGGTGTCTGAGTCTATTTTTGATGTAGTGTCTACATCCTCCCTTGCAGCAGTCGTTGTTGTGATAGCCGTACCTCGTATTAACGATGACGACATTGTACGTGGATAATTAAGACATAACGAATAAACATGACGTATCATAATTGCACGAGAGACAATAAACCAATTCAAACGGAAAAAAAGAAATTTCTTTGCATATAACGCCTTTTGTTCTGATTATTTTTCTTTTTTGAACCTAGTGAAAGGGATGGATAATAACTCTGTTGAAAATTCAGTACGAGATTTATATCAAACATTCAGTCATATCAATGATTGTTATACAAAAGATTTGCGCTAAAAGTAAGTTAGATACCTGTCATAAGTCTTGAAAATTTGAGACAAAGCTAACGTTCGTCTTGAACAGTGTTTCTAATGAGAACTACAACCATAGTAGAAGATGTAAAGCCCAAAATGGATGTACTACAAGTTTTTTGTCAGGCAGCAGAGATTCTTTCATTTTATAGTCTGCAAGTGAGATTCTGCTCTCTTCATTCCTTCTAGATTAAGCTCAAAAAAATCAATTTTTTGCCTGAGATGTTCTACTCCTGTGAGTAGAACAACGAAACGTTGTGGTCTTCTTTTTTTGTCCAAAATGAAGGATAATAAATATCTGACGCGTTGTTCTATCTAAGACACAAATAATATTTGGTTTAAAACAAAAAATCGACATCGAGATTCCATCAAGTAAGATATCTTTTCCAATATCGCTCACAATCTACCTTAGCTTTCTTTTAAGTCTCTTGGTTATGACTTGAGCTGAATGGCTAATATTTGTGAGGGTGACAGATTAACATGAAAGCAAGTCAAAACCTTAGTTTGTTCTTAACTTAAGTTGAACTTGAGATTTTTTGTGATGCACACTCCATGGTTCCCGCATAACTTTCAGTCCTTGGAAAGCGCGACCACAAAAAACTGATCTATGTTCGAAATAATTCTCTTAATTTTATTCCCTTGACTTTAGTCTAGGTTTTATAGTCTGGGGTCTTACAAAATGGTTGTCTGTTTCTCTGGCTGTGCGCAAAATACGGAAAAATGGCTGTCGGATATTCTATGGATAAGCGAATCAGAAGAGACAAAAGTAGAAAATTATTTTCTACACAATAGAGAAAATGTTCAAAGAAATCAATGAAAAAATAATTACTGATGCAGAGAGAAAAAAACTAAGCAAACGTTTCTGTAGTTCGGAGATAGATGTCACCAAAAATCAGTTGTTGTTTTCTCTACAACCATAGAGTTAACATCGACGTTTAATATACCATATGAAGGAGCAGCTCGAGTAGTATAAGTGCTGATACTTAAAACCAGAGCGCCCAAATCTCCTGATTGTCTTTGTCACTGTAATAAAAGAGTTTTTGGTAGTTGTTCTCTGCTCACGTGTAAATCACTAGTCAGTGACAAGACTGGAGACGCTAGACAAAACTTCTCTCTTTTTATGCTCAAAGGCTGTAAACGATGGAAGAGTATTTCCGCTTGGTTCTGCCTAGTATTACATGATGTACGCTAACTGCTGACCGTATGGACTTTGTAGCTCCCCAAGCAAAAATGACCCAATTTTTTGGGTTATTTATCTAGATTCAACTTCACGTGCATCTAGATATGCGTGGAGCTGAATCTAGATAAATAACCCAAAAAATTGGGTCGTTTTTGCTTGGGTCATTAAGAGATAAATAAAATCACCTAGAAGCTTGGACAAAGAACGTGTGGAACACGGTTTCCTACAGGAGGAAACCTCAATGTGACACTTTCTCTGACAACTTTGAGATCGTTTTCCTCTGAAATAAAATGTTGCGTGTGGATGTTTTATATATCAGATGAAAGAGTAACTCCAGTGCTACAAATATTGGTATGAACGCGTTCTTGTAATACTCATAGGGATTCAGAGCAACGGTTGCAAAATGGCCTCAGAAGAAAAGCATGAGTTTTCCGTTTCGTTCTCCTGGAGACAAAACGTATAGAAACCTCAGCCTATGTTATATAAATGTAAAGCTGAAAGAATGTGTGTTCAAATGGCAAAAGAATTAGATCTATAGCAGAGCTGCGAATTGGATGGAACTACACAAAAATTCCAGTTCAAGTTTTTGAAGTCTCTACTTATTTTAAGCCTTTTTATTTCACATAGTTAATTCCACACATATCAACATAAAAAATGATACTTTTTTTATTTGCAATCACTTAGAAAGGAGAAGAAAAAAGTCGCAATTCCATAATTAAGTTCGCCATAAAAAGATCTATCTAAGAAAACCTGGTTATGGTAGTGACTGTCATGGCTCAAAAATGACAAGAGAGTATCGGTGGAAGGTTCAAGATCAAAAAGTGTTTCTCTGAAGATTTTTCTCCAGACACCTGGGACGCTGATTTCATCATGTTTTACTCGACTTTCTCTTCAAGAACAGGATGTAATCACTATAAAATTAGTCTCCTCAAGCTCACTTAGATGTTTAGGCCAAAATAAGTACACAGGAATTTTATTCTCATTCATCAATTAAGTTCTTCCAACTTTTGTTTGTTACATGAATTAGTTTTACTGATTTTTTTCACGATTATTTCTGAGAAAATTTCAGCCTCAGATTTGCTTTTCCTCCCGGCATCCGCATGTATTTCTCAATTTTTGTCGGACATGTGAGTAATATTTGATCTCAAAATAAAAGTGAGAGCGATCGAAGTTTTATGATTCACGTGTGACTATTACCAATAAGGTAACGTTGATAAAGCGAATTAGTTAGCCTCAGGTTGAAAGTTTATATCCAATAGGCCCGATTTGTCCTGTCTTGGTCAACTGTGTGTCACTTCCATTTTAGATCATACACGATTGCCACTGATTTATTTCTATGTTCAACGCCAAAACCATTTGTCAGTTTATAACGTTCCTACGACTAATTCTACATTAACTACAACGAATGATATTGCACCCATTCAAGTGACATTTGCTGATTTAATTCAAGATTATAAAGTAATCTATGAAATAAATACAAACATTCTCGTATTGATTACTCTGACAAATAATAACAAAATCTTATACAAATTTATCAGACAACAGGAGACAATAACATCATCAGAATAAATTATTTCTACGGAGCTATTCGATACATTGAACTTTTGAGTCTTTCATAACGATGTTCAATATCTTTACCAATGTTATAACGAATCTGATCATCAATGAAATCTTGAAAATTTTTCATTTTAGCTACGATACTCCTAGCGGCGTTTTCCAGCTGTTCAGTATTATATTCACTTCGCTCAAATCGTTTAGCTAATTCAAGTGTCGTTTGTGTCACATTAAACAAAAAAACTTTGTAGAGTTACAAGTTTTTGTGACGTAGCAAATATCGTATTTTGCAACTGCAAAATCGGTGAAGAAATCTGTTCCTCGAACTGCTACTAAACCACCAAGAGAAAATTTGAAAAAGACTGGCTCATCAACCCATTATAAGTCAAAAACAATAAGAACAAATTAAATTGGAAAATCCCAAAATCATGATAAAAACATTGTGTTTTCACAAAAAACGATTTTATGATCCAGCCTAACTTTCTATCCAATGACGAAACAGACATTACCATATCACTGTTTTAGATAGCTAAAAGCGAACTCAGACGAATGCGCTTATTTAAAAAATAAAATAATAACGGTGAATATTTTTAATTTCAAAATTTCCGAAAACCCTAAGCTCAAAAACTCTGTTTTCAAAAAGTCCTCTGCCAAGTCAGAATTAACCAAATCCAATTTCCAAGATCTTAAGCGGAGATCTTACTGAAAAAATTTAAGAAAACAAGATCTTGGTTATAAGAAGTTCACTAGAATAGCGTTTTATCCTCACCAGTTCCATAAGTCCTTTCTTGCAAAAAGACTTTATAAAATTTTGTAACTTTTGGTAAATTCTTGTATTAGCATACACAAAAATCTCAACGTCCTAGAAGATTATATGTTTAGTCCTTCCCACAAATTCTGTTCATAAGATACATGAAACTGTAAGAACCCTGTTTGACTACAGTTCTTGAAGCCATGCACTCTATTTGTGTTCATCCACTGTTTGACGTTGATGAAGAAGATAGTTATAGAGAACGGTGTTATATATACACACACACACACACACTTATATAGAAGCAAAGTTTTTTATTGTAAAATGAGTCATCATCTTCTGAAAGACTTTTTAAGATGTTCTGACAAGAAATCAGCTGATCTTGCAATAATCATGATTATTATCATTTAATGAGACTTTATCATAATATTATATAAAATATTGACTAATCTTGTAAGATTTGAAAGTTGAATTTGACTTCGATAGAAAGTTTTTCTTCTCGACTGGCTCGTCTAGAATGTAGATTACAGCTTTCGAATTTTTCTACTTTTTATTTTGTGAAATCATTCTTCTGCGCTAAATTTTGAATTGGAAAAGCCAGTTTATTTGTACAGAGAAACCAAAACTTTCATTGTTTTGGCTTAGTCTTACATATCTTTATAATCTGAAACTTTTGTCCTCTATAAAATTTTAAAAATAATTTTAATTTTTTGCATTACAGGTCCTTGGAAAAGAAAAGGTTCTTGAACATTGCTTATATTTTTTTAGTAGTGATGATATTTATTATAGTTTAATTCTCGTATTTAATTTAGTCAATCCGCCGTTTTCCGACCAAGATTAACTTAACACTCTTTTTTTGCACTAGGAAGTTGAGTAAAATTGTCTTAGCTAATAATTAACACAAGTGACTTAAATAAAAGGCCGTGAAATAAGCAATTGTAATAATCAGTTGCTACTAACAACATCGTTTACTATCACTTTGATCGATGAAACAGCATCATATTTTTAAAATTACAAAAAAAATTTGACTGAAAATTACAATTTTAAATTATTTTTTTTACGATTTCGATAGTATTAATGTTTTGCGTGTAAAAATATGTGCGTTATATCTTACATCATTCTTTTTGCTGTCCTTTTTATACTTCAGTCTGTGTTATTTTCTAAAATAAAAACCAGAGTAAAACAAACAACTGAACTTTTTTTTCTTTTATGTATTTAAATAAACAAGTTTTTTATATTGAAAATAAAAAAAAGACTATTGTTACCGCATGGCTTTTATTATTTGTCTATATCGTATACAATTCCTTTTTGTTAGATTAATTGATACAACCAATTAGATCATCGTATAGCTCTTGTCATCTGCATAAAGGACTATGTCATCAACATTTAGAGCTTTTAAAGGCATTGTTCTACTTGTTCTATTATTTATAATTGTATCATTGTATCGATCGAATGTTTTTAAACCTACTATACCTCAATTGTTGAATCAGACTATATTAAATGTATTCACCTATAAAACATCCATATTCTCATCAACGCCAGTGGCAATGGCATCATCATTTTCACTATCTTTTGACTACTACAGTAGTGATGATTATCTATTAGAATTATTAAAAGCAAATGCTAATTCGAAAAAGCAAGTGGCATTAAATTTAGTTGGAGGTGATTTTTATCCACTATACATATGGTAAAGATAGCACATTATTTACGATTATGACTGCTTCCTAAAGATTTATTTAAATACTTTTAAGTCAACTTTAATCAAAATATTGAAAAGATCATAAAATCCGTTACTTTTTTCCATCTTGAGTTGTTTCTAGAGTTTATTGACAAAAAATGCATTCATTTAGGGACTGGTACTTTCGAATGTACGAATTAACAAATTCTACTATACACAATTGTATAGTAATTGCTCTTGACGAAACATCGTTTATTCAAGGTCAAAAATATAAATTACCGACATTTTATTCAAAACATACATATGAACAACAAATAAAAATTAAAAATATTCACGATTCGAGACAACACATGTTGTATATCGTGGGTAATGGAAAATTTCATACAGTAGCAAGAATTGTGAAATTAGGTTATAATCCATTATTCAGTGAAATGGACGTATTTTGGTAATTAAATGATAAGTACCATCTTTTTCTTTTTTCAGAGCTGTGTGTACATTATTCAAATGTATCTTCGTTATCTGACAATCTCAGCAATGTAAAGAATTAGTTTATTTACAGCATAGATAAGCGTATTGCTATTTAAATAACACCAATTTCTTAAAAAGAGAATGCATTTTTTCTGTTTTCTAGGGAAAGAGATCCATTTACAGTATTAAAAGAACCGTGGGATAAATATGATTTACAAATAAATGATCATCGTGATAGTCATCCACGTGTGAACATAGCCGTATACTATGCGCATTCTTCAGTGCGTAGTATTCACTTTTTCAATGAATTATCTGAATTTTGGACAAATTTTGGAAAAGGAGCATTTCTAAGTGATCAACGTGTTTTCGACGCATTTTTAGACAACTACGATAAGTTAGAATCAACTTATATAAAATTATGGACAGATTTAGGACATGATTATCCTATCCCACCAATGAAAAAAATGAATTGGACAAAACATACATTTGATAATAAATTTCATCATTTATTCTCAGATGGAAATGCTTATTATCTCATGGAGCGAGCAACAAAGTCGGGTCTACGATCAAATAAATTTTATAATTCATCTGCATTTTACATAACCGCTCTTTATTCAAACACTGCAACCAATAAATTACCGTGTAAAAAATGTGCTACATTAAATGATTGGAGTTTGCTGATGCGCTCTCTGTTAGCTGTTCAACAAATATATCCAAATAGAATAATGGTGTTACCCACATTTAATCAAACACCAAAAGTTCACTCTATTTTAGGTAATTTTGAAAAATGTTAATAATAAGAATATTGAAAAAATATAATTTTTCTTCTTTTAGATACAAGAAAATTATTTAAATATTGGGGTGAAGATAAAATTCGTTTGAATAATTTTTTAGAACTAAATTCTAGTCAATCATTATTTTCATCATGGAAAAATGTTTGGATTGGCTACTGTGAAAAGTCAGAACAATCCGCAGTTGATTCAATTGATGTACATTGCATTAAATCACCATCGGGTGCTACAGAAAACGAACTAAAAACAATTTTATCCAAATATGAAAATTATCATATGGTAAATTTTGTTTATCTCGAATTTTCACAATTTTCTGAAGCAAAACAAACAAGTGAGTTTAATGTTTACGTGCGAGACTCTATTATGTGGTGTATAAATAAACCAGAATATTGTTCAGCAAACAACAGAGATTATACTTTTACTTTTGAGCTTCTATTTGCTTGTCAAGGTGACCCGTATCCACCATGTAAAGTGAAAACTAAAGAATTAGAAATGTTTTTCCATAGACCATACGATACAAATAAGACATCTTAGTAATTCTGCAATAGTATATAGAGAACTTCACCATATGAATGCTAGGTGCAATAGAAAATTCGAATGTTATGTATCAAAGCTACTAATGATCTTACAAACAGGGAAAATACACTCTTTATAGATACGTTTTTTCACTCTCAGTTGACATTAACAACTTTGCAGTAGTCAGAATAACGCAACCAGTGCTACGAAGAAACATGATTACGTATTTCTCTATTTGTTAAACCAATTAAAACTATCAAGATATACCTCTCTGATACATATATTAATGAAAATTGTACTGAATTTTTTATTTAAATTTGATTGTTATATATTTTTATATTTTTTCATTTTGTTATAATAGAAATTTTACGCTGTGTCTGACATTGGATTTATAAATACGCATATTGCATCGCAATATTTTATCATAAGTGATAACATCAATAGCCTTTTCGCTTTGTTCATTGTTGATCATCCATACGTATTTTTGATCATTTGATCGTTTTGGCAATTTTTCAGTCTTGTACAAAAAAATCAATACATATGAATAAGAACAAACTTCAGGTAGTGACAATATATAACTTAAACAATTCTATGAGTATTTTATTTTATTTGTTCTTTGTTGACATTCACTCTGTATTTTGTACTTAAGGTCAATGAAAAATCGAGTTATTTTTTCCCGAGAGACACTTACAGATTTCTATGGACCTTATAATTTTTTTTCACGAGATGTATCTAGCAGTTTCACATGTTTACTGCTTATTAGAATCACATTTCGTTAACATTTCATGGAATATTTTTTTGAACTAAGAACTTTATTCTCTCGATCATTTCGCGTTTTTGGACTGATCAACTAGTAGACGATATTCTCTTCTTTTCGTTCAAAACATAAGAGTAGTGTTTCTATTTATTGGACCTTCTTTTTATCTAATTTTAATTAATTAAGTAAAAAAAGTCTCACATGATACTTATTCAAATTACCTTTTTATCTTAGAAAAACTTAATTTGAATTGATTCAATTTCATAACATAATTCGTACTAATAATAAAAGTTGTCGTTTATTTAACGTTCAGACAGATGTACTTTTTTATCTTTTTTTCAATTACTGTTTTACAAGAGTAAATTAGTTCGAATTGGTTTATAGAATTCAATCAATTCAAATTAAGTTTTCATCTCAAAAAATTGAATTGAATAAATATCATATGAGACATTTTTCTTTTGACGAAAGTCAGGGTCTTACGAAATAAATAGTTTGTGTGTCTGTTTGTCTGACCACATAGCAATGTATATGAAACATATGATGTTATTCGAAATTTTTATTTTAAAAAGCCATAATGAAAGATTTTAATTAAAGATTTTAGGCGCTGTTACTTTTCTAGTCTGACATATGTAGAGGAATGCAATAAAAAGCTAAAGTCATGATAAACACAGAAAGAGTGCATGTGCGTACGTTTGTAGCACACGTATGCTTTCACATCGTAGCATGATCACATAGATATAACTAACTCGCATATGAACAAATAGTGTTTGTTTATCAGCATCAAACCTAAATTAATAAGCTGTGATGTTCGTTTCAAAAACAAATCACGAAAAAACGATAAAACACATTGCACGTGTATTTCATCGTATACATGCATAACTGAAGTAAAACTTTCTAAATCTTTCTGAGTATTTCCTTACATATAATGCATGTATATCATGCCGATCTTTCTAACATGAGTGATAGATGAAAGTCGAAAGAGACAATTAGCGTGCGTTAAAAGTGTAACAGAATAGGAAGATGGGAATCTAGTAATACTATGAAAAAGTTCAAATTCTTATTCTTACATCGAAAAATCGATTCCATTCCACTGGAAACGGCTATTTCACTTTTCTTCAGTATAAGTTGATTTCTGAGATGCTATGACTCCTTCTGACAAACGCCTAGATTTCCTCACTATTTAAAATAACTATTGAACTAGAACTCAGGTGCATACACATTGATGACTCAAAGCACAACCAACAGACGCATCGATTCGTAAGATTCGACAAACATAATCTAAAATATGAAGAATAACAAAAGGTGCACGATAAAGCATTGTCAAATGTAACTTCACTTTGCAGACGTCGATCTCTCTGGCTATCAGAACATCGGGCTATAGCTTACTTCATATATTTTACTCAGAATATCTAAACTGCGATAACATCACTACTCAGAAGACTAATCGAATATTTGAAATTGGTCACAAATTATTTCAGTGGAATAGTATTCATCATTGAAGTGATGTTCTCGACATCGTTAATGACGTCTCAACATCAGGTACATTTAAATCTCTTTACAACACATTGAAAAGGGTCTGGATATCCCATCTCATTGTACAATTTGGTAATGGCATTGGCTAAGATCCGTACTATTTAAAATAACTATTGAGCTAGAATTCAGGGAAGTACAATGGATGATTCAAAACACAACCAACAGACACACTGATTCGTAAAATTCGCCAAACACCATCTAATGGTGATAACATCACTACTCAGAAAGACTAATCGAATATTTGAAATTCATCACCAGTTTTTTCAGTGAAATATCATTCATCATCGAAGTGATGTTCTGCTTCTCACTCTCGATTTAGTTCGTCTCTTTTATAAACAGTAGAAAACTGTCTGAATCATGATGAATATCTGTAGCAGTAAAAAAACAAATGATGAAAAACAATACATGGAAAAAAAATAAAGCTGTTTCAAAATCATATATCTGACTTTTCGTCATTCATCGTAGCAGGTAAAAATAGTCTATCCAATATCAAAGTAAATCACAACTACTCTGAATAGAAACTTGTTCTTATCCAGACGGTGATAACATCACTACTCAGAAAGACTAATCGAATATTTGTGATTCATCATGACTACTTTTTCAGTGAAATACCATTCATCATTGAAGCAATGTTCTTGCGATATTGTTAATGACGTCTCAACAACAAGTACATCTAAATCTCTTTAGAATATATAGAAAAAGGTCTGAATATCCCATCTCATTGTACAATTTGGTAATGGTGAATATCCTCACTATTTTTAACGACGAGTGAACTAGAATTCATGAGTACACATTGATGATTCAAAACACAACCAACAGACGCACCGATTCGTAAAATTCGCAAACACGATCTAAAATATGAAGAATATCAAAAGGTGCAGGATAAAGCATCGTCAAATGTAACTTCGCTTTCCAGACGTCGATCTCTCTGGCTATCAGAGCATCTAAACAGCGATATCATCACTACTCAGAAGACTAATCGAATATTTGAAATTCATCACAAGTTATTTCAGTGAAATACTATTCATCATTGAAGTGATGTCCTCGATATCGTTAATGACGTCTCAACATCAGGTACATTTAAATCTCTTTAGATTATATTGAAAAAGGGTCTGGATATCCCATCTCATTGTACAATTTAGTCCATGTGATGAAGCACTGAAATTTAGAAAGAATTTTTTTTATTTATTCTAAAAATATGAAAAGAAAGTTTATAATTTTTTTAAGAAATTTATTTGGAAAAAATAAAAGCGGACACATTCTTAGCTATGTCTAATGTGATTTAATTTGGCTTTGTTTATTATCTGATTGTGGTGGACTGAGTTTTTGTTGTTGCCTATTTCCGTCCTGTTCCGATCCCCGAACTTCTTCGATAGTTGGATAATGACTTGTGGGTCCTTTATCAATTGGAGTCAGTGCTTCGTCTGGTAAATGGTAACTACGAGAATGAATTTTCATTTCACCGCCTTGTTCAAACCACCAACGCATCGAATCTTCTTTGTTAAAAGGAGGAACAGAAAAATCATCTAAAAGTAGATATCACAGTTAAGAGGTAATGCGAAAATAGTTTTATTTTTTTGTGTTCAAAGGAACATACCCAGTGAATCGCCATCTCTTCCTTTTTCCCATACTTTTGGAAACATCATATCCGGTAAGTAAAAAAATAACAATTCGTTTGGTACCTCATCTGGATGAGGAATACTATCATAACGTGCAAACTTAACAAAATAAAAAATGAGTATGAGCTAATGAGTGCAACAACGTCTAAAACTTACATCTTTTTGCAATTCTCCAAGTTTAGATTGAGCGAGTTTTATATATTCTTGCGCACGATTTCTCTAGGAAAAATAGAACAATAAACAAAATGTACCAAATCATCTATCATTCAGAATGTGTCAGTCATTATGGAAAATTTCTTAAGCATACTTCACTTTTTCCAAATTCTTCCAATTCTTGCATACGATTTGAAAGATCTTTTGGATAAGATATCTGTGCATTCTCATACTAGAAAATAAATTCCATAGTCATCCAATAACAAATGATTTTCTGGCTGTAAAATTAACCTCTTTCTGTATTTTATCAACAAAAGATGCATCGGGCACTAACTTTTTATAATAATTAAAATCAATTTTAGGCAGTGATTCAGGAAGAGAATTCATTCTAAAACGAAACAAAATCAAATGCACATTTTAAGATAATTAAAAATCCGACATTGCCTACTTTGAAGCATACTGAAATGTCTTTGATTGTAGAGCAGATACAGTTGTTGTGTTTTGTCCACTTATTTCAAATAATTTATTCCAATCAACTTTTGAACGGCTAAAACGTTGTAAAGCATTTTTAGCCATTTGTTGGGCCATCTATAGCCACAAAGGTTTAATCTGCAACAATGTAAAGAATATCTTAATTTTTATAATTTTTGTAATGGTCGCCGAAGTTTAACTATCATTAAGAAAAACCTTTCTCCAGCTTTTTTTCTAAGCTATGAGAGATAAGATCGTCAAAAAAAAGGTTCAACATTGCATTCCACTCTGTAGCGCTTAGCTCTTCAAAAAACTAGTAATAGGTTAATCAGATCAGGTGCTCTCTTGCTCAACAAAACGTAGAAATCAAAGTTCACCGCAACAGGTATAGTATACTGAAAAACAGCAGAAAGTAATATTATACTAATCTATATACACACTAAAACACTTTTTAGAATGTTGTGGCCTAAGTATCTTTGTTACTTATTAGAAACGTATAATAGCGCTCTGCGATTTTCTATCCCCAGGTGACAAACACCATACAATAAATTAGATCTCTAGAACAAATAGATAAAGTTTCGTTCATTATATAATTTCTGACGCTTTTAAACAACGAACGCCATATCAACTGGATAACCGTACTGCAAAAGCTCAAATCTATGCAATATCAGAGTAATAGCCTACCGTCAATTTGTAAACTACAAAACTGTCATTACACACACATTCATCATAAAAATCCTGGGGAAAAAACCCTTTTTCATACAGCACTTTATACCACTTTTTCTTGCTGGCGCCGATTTATCAAATGTAACTTCACTTTCTATCCGTTCATCTCTCTCTGGCTACCAGAACATTGGGCTACAGCTTACTTCATATGTTTTACTCAGAGCATCTAAACAGCGATATCATCACTACTCAGAAGACTAATCGAATATTTGAAATTCGTCACGACTACTATTTTCAGTAAAAATAGTATTCATCATTGAAGTGATGTCCTCGTTATCATTAACGACGTCTCAACATCAAGTAGATTTAAATCTCTTTACAATACATTGAAAAGGGTCTGGATATCCCATCTCATTGTACAATTTAGTCCATGTGGTGAAGCACTGAATTTTAGAAAGAAACTTTTTATTTATTCTAAAAATATGAAAACAAAGTTTATAATTGTTTTTTGAACTCGTTCTCTTTGAATATCATATATGTGACTCTTCGCCATTCACCGTAGCAGGTAAAAATAGTGTACCAAAAGCAAATCTTAACTGATGTAAAAATAAACTTGTTCTAATCCAGACAGTGACAACATCACTACTCAGAAAGACTAATCGAATATTTGAAATTCATCACCAGTTTTTTCAGTGAAATATCATTCATCATCGAAGTGATGTTCCCTTCTCACTCTCGATTTAGTTCGTCTCTTTTATAAACAGTAGAAAACTGTCTGAATCATGATGAATATCTGTAGCAGTAAAAAAACAAATGATGAAAAACAATACATGGAAAAAAAATAAAGCTGTTTCAATATTATATATCTGACTTTTCGTCATTCGTCGTAACAGGTAAAAATAGTCTATCCAATATCAAAGTAAATCAACTACTCTGAATAGAAACTTGTTCTTATCCAGACGGTGATAACATCACTACTCAGAAAGACTAATCGAATATTTGTGATTCATCATGACTACTTTTTTCAGTGAAATACCATTCATCATTGAAGCGATTTTCTTGCGATATTGTTAATGACGTCTCAACAACAAGTACATCTAAATCTCTTTAGATTATATTGGAAAAGGGTCTGGATACCCATCTCATTGTACAATTTGGTAATGGCACTGGCAAATGTGCTCACTATTTAAAATAACCATTCAACCAGAACTCATGTGAGTAGACATTGATGATTCAAAGCACAACCAACAGACACACCGATTCGTAAAATTCGACAAATACAATCTAAAATATGAAGAATATCAAAAGGTGCACGATAAAGCATTGTCAAATGTAACTTCACTTTTCAGACGTCGATCTCTCTCTGACTATCAGAGCATCGGGCTTGAGCTTACTTCATATGTTTTACTCAGAACATCTAAACAGCGATATCATCACTACTCAGAAGACTAATCGAATATTTGAAATTCATCACAAGTTATTTCAGTGGAATAGTATTCATCATTGAAGTGATGTTCTCGATGTCGTTAATGAAGTCTCAACACCAAGTAAAAAATATGCGATAAACCACCATGAAATGTAACTTCACCTTACATCCGTTCATCTCTCTATGGCTATCAGAACATCCAGTCATAGATTCGTAGTAGGTAAAAATAGTTTATCCAACATCAAAGTAAATCACAACTACTGTGAAAAGAAACTTATTCTTATCTAAACAGTGATGACATCACTACTCAAAAGACTAATCGAATATTTGAAATTCGTCACAAATTATTTCAGTGAAATACTATTCATCATTGTAGTGATGTCCTCGATATCGTTAATGACGTCTCAACATCAGGTACATTTAAATCTCTTTACAATACATTGAAAAGGGTCTGGATATCCCATCTCACTGTACAATTTGATAATGGCATTGGCTAAGATCCTTACTATTTAAAATAACTATTGAGCTAGAATTCAGGGAAGTACAATGGATGATTCAAAACACAACCAACAGACACACTGATTCGTAAAATTCGCCAAACACCATCTAATGGTGATAACATCACTACTC